CGAGAAGGACTACTAGGACTACTAGAAAGATGATGATTGCAACTGCGTCATTGTGGGTGTCTGGAAAGTTTTTCTTCATTTTGCTTTAGTTTAGTTTTTCTTCTGGCGCATTTTATCACTCATCATCGACGGCTATGGCTATGGCTATGGCTATGGCGACGGCGACATTGTCTCTTTCCTATGTAACATTTCCAGCCATTAGCGGTAATATGCATAAATATAATTTTCATGTTTATTACATTTCTGTGCAGTGGCTGAAAAATAATAATGAGAATATGGCGCATAGAGAGGGCAGAAGAGCAAATGCTTTAAAGTGTACATATCAGTATCCAAAGGCACCACCAACACAGACCCAACCACGAGCGAAGCAAATTAAATGAGACAAAACAAAAAGCAGAACTCATCAGCAACATTGGCGGCATTGACGGCATTGGCGGCGTCGATAGCGATGACGATGTCTGTGACGATGCCCATGATGGCTGGCTTACCCCAGCAAAGTGCGGCTTATTGTTCGTTGCTGTTGGCCTGCTTTATCAACTGTTAAATGACAGTTTTATGATTTGGCCCGCTTATCAACGGCGGTCGCATGTTTGGCAACCATTGTTTTTCCCTGGCCTTTTGAATGATGCGACGACCCAAACCTATGCCAGCTGTTTGCCAATCAAATGTGGTTTAGCACTCAGTTGTTGTTGGTGTTGTTTTCGTCATTGTTGTTGCACCATGGGCTAGAAGGTAGACAGAATTGGCCATAATTCAAATACACGCAGACTTTATAAGCTTTACCTATTTGATTTCAAGCGGTCGAGATGTCGAAAGTACTGCTAAAGAACCTAAAGTGTTTTTTTTTTTAAACAAATTCTTCAAGAATGATATATTATGTAAAAATTGAAGCGCTTTCTTGGAGAGATTATTAGTTTGTTAGGTCAAAACCATCTTTTGCATTTGTGGTAATTTTTTTAATAAATAAATTTCATTGCCCTTCAGATTATTTTAGAGCCTACATGTAGAACAAGAATGCTCTTGGGATTGATTGGATTTCCCCTACTCAGACAAAGTATGTAACAGGCAGAAGGCAGAAGCATCTCCGACCCACAGGTCCGCCCGTCTGTCTGTGTGGATGAACTCAAGGATGTCAGAAACTATAAAAGCTAGAATAACCAAAGTCGGTATCCAGATTTAACATTTAATTCAGTGACGAAGGTTTGTCTGGGTACAGGGTATTTCACTGTCGGGCTTGGTCGACTGCAGCGTTCTCTCTTGTTAAAACTTGTATATTGTTTTCTTATATCGACAGTCAATGTTTGCTGACATAAAAATATAATAAATAAAAAAATATGTGCTTGACCAAGGCATCCCATTTTATACAGTAGTGGTATTGATTTAAAGTAAAAAATGAAATATGCAGAAAGTATGGGCATAAATTCTTAATTAGCACTAGCAGCCGAGTCGATTTAGTCATGTCTGTCCATTTGTGAATAATTAATATATAATTATCTGCTTTTATTTTAAAGTTCATCTAAGTCAGTAAGTTCTTAGTTTCCCAGACTCTTCGATTAATTGTGGAAGAGCAATTACAACGATGAAGAAGGAAGACGAAGAGTGCTAATGGGAAGGAAAATATATGAAATTATCCTTATTTATATTTATTTGAATTTTCTCGACTTATATATAAGTTGTTATTTTTTTGTTTCAATTTCAATTGCTGAATCGCGTGTGGCTTTTCCTATTTTTTTTTTATTTATCAGTTTTGGTGTGTCCTTAGTCCCATAGTTCATTGGTTCTCATTGCTGTTGTCGCCGTGTCCAAATGCTTTGGGAAGCAGTTGGCATAGCACAGGAAACGGATGCGCTGTGCTCAGCTTACGTCGCTTGATGTGTTGTGGCCATAAATCAGCGACACATTTTGACGGAAATTTTAAACCAACAACCAGCAGACGCCAACCACCGCGACGTATGCGGCAAAGTGGTAAGCAAAGAAGACAAAACCCAAAGTAGTGGCAAAGTGGCTAAAGAAAAAGTAAAAGAAGAAATCAATAATTTATATGCATGTTGAGTGTGCCACCAAGTGGCAAGTAACATGTGGCCATATGTAAGAGTATATATAGATTATGTGTTTTGTGTGGGTGTGCATGTATGTGTGTGTGTGCGTGTGTGTGTGTGTGCGTGTGTGTGTGTGGGTGGGCGTGTGAATTTATAAGCCAAAATATGCACATAAATAAAGTTGAGCCGCGCAAGCCCTGAGCGACCAAAGTCAAAAGTCAAGCGAACTGAACTTTTTTGTGCATGTGTGTGTGTGTGTCTAGTATATGTGAGAGTTCATGTGGCTGTGTGTGTGAGAGTGTATGTGAGTAGTCATTTGCTTTGTTTACCTTTGTCTGGACAACTATGTGATTTAGTTGTCCCGCCAGGGGATCAACAGAAGGCGAAGGCATACAAACATACAATTTGGGCCACTCCTGAAGTATTTCAACACCTACATTTAGAGACAGATACAGAGATAGCGAGTGTACAAATATTTAGAAACGCGAGGCTTAATCAAAAACTCCCTATATTCAGCATAGTTTATTCTAAATTTCTCTTTATATGTCGACAACATTTAAAACCCGTTTTGTTTCGAAAATTGATTTTTTTTTTTTTTTTGATTAAACTTTAATTTTACTGTTATTATTTACAACAACTTAAATTAAATTTATAGAAATATATAAATACAGCTTAAACTAGGAGTTTAGTCTTATTTAATTATTTATTTCATTTAATAATTAATTATTTATTCTTATATTAAATAAATCTATTGGGGAGATCAGCAGGGTGTGATCTCTTCAGCCTCCTTCTTACTCGAAAATTGAAAGACAATTTATATAAGAACCTGTTCAAAATTTGGTCGAATTTATTTCGATTGCTTTAAGTTTCGAATTAAAATTTTAATATTTCAGCCCTTTTTGTGGATCAAACCTCTGACATACAATGAGAAGGGAGCAGACCTTCCTGCGCTGTGCATTTGACTGCCATCAGGCTGTCATCTTCCGTTTGGCTCTTGACGTCGACTTCGGGGAACACAAAATACCAAAACGGAAGTTCTGCGCAACGAGCTGTGCTGTGCAATTTGCATAAAAAATGCCTCTGCCCAAAACGGAAACATGCTTATTTCAGATGTTTTTTCACTTCAGCTTCGTCATAACTGTTGTGTGTGTGGGCCCAAAAATCGAACAGGCAGCAATGATGAGCCTGAAATTAGGCAATAATTTGCTGCCAACCTCCATGGGTATATAAAACACGCACACACATACACACACACAGAGACTTCATTGAAAAACAGCGGGGCAATTATGTAAAGAAATTTGGTAACGCCACAGGACGTCAGCAATGAGGAAGTAATCAGCCAGTTCATCGACCGTCAGTTAAGGCTTCGCACTCATAAGGCAAATGAAATCAACGAAATACGCACATTAGTTGCCCTGTCACACACATTTTCATAGGCATTACAATTTACAACAGGACTAACAGACTTACTTCATACTTACATATTAACATACATACGAATATGTATTAGGCACATAATTGGCCAGCTGTGCGTCTGTCTGTTGGCTGCGCGCCTTGAGTCTCTTGAAATTTGTTTATTAGCCTCCGGCAGTTTGGGCCAAAAATACATTTCCAAAGTGCCGAATTTATGAAAAAAAAAATGAAACAAAAATAAATGCCACACACTCCCTAAGCAGCTTTTGTCTTCCATTTGGCAATGGTGTGCAAGGCGTTTGTGTATTTAGACTTTAAATACAAGTATACAAGTGACGTATTAAGTGCGTGCAGACTGGTTCGATTTTGTGAACTTTGAATTTTACTTCAGCTAGCAATTTTGAAATCTGCCAGATCTATTTACATTAATCGTGTCGACTGAAGATAAGAGGGAACTCTCGTGGGAAATTATTAAAAAGTAGAGACAACGTACAACTGAACAATTTATTTTGTTCTATACGTCTAAAACACCAAAAGACTTTAGATAATAAAATGTTCGGAAAATAAAACTTTTGTAGAAATAACAAAAGAGCCATAATCAATTTCAAATCAATACCACATTTTTTAATGTTTGCTCACCATTTTAAAATAAACATAATGTTTTGCACTAAAATTTTTGGGTCTCTATTTTACCTCATTTGCGGATCAAATTTCCTCAGCCCACTTCTGTAGAAATTCAATGAAGTCCACAACATTTAAAACCATTGCACCGAATGAATAAGTTATTTATACTAGTCTACAAATGGGAAACAAATATACAATCAGACGGACAGAATTTTTATAGCCTGTACTCGTAGGATAAATGAGGTTTGTGCAGAGTATGTAACACGCACCCGATAATGTATATACATTCTTAATCAGCATGACAAGATTAAGCGATCTAGATATGTCAGTTCGTCTGGACTTCGGAAACGCTTGAGAGCACATTAACCAAACTTCATTCGTCGATGCACCTAGTCTTTAGGCAACACCCATTATCAAACTTCACCCGAATCGGTAAATTCTGAGAAAGGTTACTAGCGAAACAATTTCTCTGCAGTACTACGCCCACAAAGTGCAGCATCAAGTTCTCTCTTCTTCTTCGTTTTGCTTCTGCTATGGGCGCATATAGCTCAGTGCCGGCAGTTTGTCTGGGCTTTCACTTTTTCATCAGCCTCGAACTTGAACCAGTTTAAATGGGGTCTACGCAACTTGAGAGGAATAATTGTACCTACGGTTGGGTCAACCCTTTCGTTGCCGGTTGAGTATGTGTGTGCATTGGGCATCGAATGTCTCTGCTGCCACAAAATTGTAATTCAATTAACTGTGAAAAGGCTTAGACGCACACGTGCGCGGCTCCCAAGCACCTGAGATTGGGTGGTGGCTGGGAGGCGAACAGCAGCTGTTCGAGTAGCAGACGGCGCCTGCCGGCTCTAAGTTAGAGAAACAAATGACACGGGTCAATGGTTAGTGAATACGCCCCCTCCATTCCATTTTACGGCTACTCGATGATGTTCCATTCGACTCGCTTTTATTGCTTATACTTATAGTTCTTATGAAAAGTGAGTGTTGCGTAGCGCCGGCTGCTCGGTCTCCTTCACTGTCTCAATGAGGCGCAAGTTCTCAATTTTCGACACGATTTCGGCACGTAGGTCGTGGAATGGTCGCTGTAGTTTCACGAGGACCGCATCATCGCGACCTTGAAATAGCGTCTCGCCGTCAAAGATCACGTAGTTGTATTTGCGTGCGCGCAACAAAGTGCCCAACAGCTTGTCTGAGATGGTATTATAAAGCTGTGTAGGAGGCCAGGAATAGGCAGATAATTGCTGTGTAACAGTTGCTAACTGCAAGCATAATGGATCGATTATGGACTCCACCTACCTCGAAAAGCGTGCCGAACTTCAACGACGCCGCCACCTTCTTCGCGTCCAATTCCTCCCCATCACAATTGCCCGACGTATTTATTACCTCGCATAGTTTCAGTATCTCCTCAAGGGATTGCACCTGTGCCCGCAGTGCTCGCTGCTCCGAACGACTACCGGACGGTGCTCGTCCATATTCCTCCTTCAGAAAGTACCGCTTAGGTATATCACGTACATTGTAGTGGGAGAAGGGATTGATTTGTTGCCAGTGCTGGTGCTGCTCCACGTGCTGATTGAAGAGTGTTATGCGTGACGAGACTGAGTGCTCCTGTGGGCAGTTTAAATTTGGTTTTCACTTCTTAGCCATAAATTAATGGGAATGGGTTAAGTAGTGAATGGCCATTACCTCGCTACTACAGCTTTCTGGCTCCATACGCGACATAATAAGTGTTTATAGTCGCGGCGTCAATTTTGTTGTTTTTTTTTTTGAGTGAATGTGATGAAAAGGCTGGTTGTGATTAAAAAGTCTCTATCTCTGCCGAACAACACGCTTGCTGTTCTAAACTTAAATGGACAGATATGTATTTAGCTTCAGCTTCCCCTTTCTAGGCTTTAGTAGAAAAATGCGCTTGCTGTTTTTTAGAGGGGCATCCCACATTTCCAAAACGTTCAAGCATAAATCAGTGTGACCAAATAATATAAAAATAAAAAAAAAGTTTACTATCTAAAAAAAAAAATTGTTTTCGCGTTGCTCTATCGAATATTATTCATGTTAGTTATTTCTATATTCCTGCTGAATGAATGCTGGCCTAAAATCTACCCAAACCAATCACTTTATTATCTTTAAAAATGTTTATTTGGAAGTGTTTAAAAACACACAAAATATCGATAAGGCGATATCGATACATATTGTACAAACATATGTATGTCAACAGGCTTTTTAAAAACTAACAAAACAAAAGGGATATGCCATGCTTTTTATACACACATCTACTTCTTTCGTAATTAATCAGGACGCGGCTATACTAGTAGGGCATTAAAAATCGCTTGAATCAACATTAATATTTGGCATACTTCGATGTATATCGATGTATATATATAAGTATATATGCACGAGTACATACATACATACATACATACATATGTATGTAGCTGGATTGTGCATTTCGTCCACAGCGCTCTGGAATAAAACTATGTACTAGAGTTGCTTTTTTGTTGCATATGGCGAGTCTAGTTAAGGCTGATGTTAGTGTTCACGATTTCGATTAAGCACACATATTGTGCGCTATCGATGGGCTGCCATGCCTAGCCATTAACTCCCTCATTATGTGCGAAAGCTGCGACTAAAAGCTGGCGCATAAATTGTCATTGAAAGGTCAAAAGGTGGACTATGGCGTAATTATTCAATTCTGGCTTTTATCTTCGTTGAATTGCTAATATATAATTACAAGTATTTGCTCTTTGCTTGCTCTTTTTTTGTTGAGCATTTTAAAGTTTAAGTTGAGATAGCAATGTCAGCCGCAAATGTAGCGGAAACAGCCAACAAACTAGCTCCATAAATTTCATGGCGAATGGCGCGCAAGTTGGCGGAAGCATTTGAGCTTAGCATGGCCGGAAATACAAAACAAATTTCGCAACAAAAAATGCTCGCACAAAACGAAAGGCAGCGAAAGCAAAAATTAATGAAACCGAGCCCAAGTGTTGGGGGAAATGGTATGAGGAAGCAGACAGACAAACAGCCATAGAGGAAGGGTGGAAGGGAGGAAGGGGGATGAAAACAAACAGACAGTCAGAGACTTTGTGGATTTGTAACAGACGAGGGCAAAAATGGCGCCACTTCCGTTCGAGTAAAAATCAAGCAATAAACATTAATGTGCAATTAATGTTGGTGGCTGGTGGTGGTTGGTGGCTGGTGGTGTCGTCGGTGGTGCTTTGAGTGGGTTAGTGGTGTCTGTGTTTGATTTCCAGCACTTAGTGCGATTAACGCTTGGTCGGTATTAGCTTGAGTTATTTATAACCTTGGTTTATTTTGTTACCAAGACTTGATTTGCCAGTCAGTGCCACAATTTTAATGTGCAGATGACCCAAATAAAGTTTCTGGCTAAGCCACTTATTGCCGTCCTTTCTGGCCCAAGCAAATAAACTGTCCAGCGGTCATTTAATCTCACTCTCCATTTTGAATTTCTGGTCTGTCAATATGTCACGCTTTGATGTTTGCCTGTCATAAGCTGGCTAGGAAGTGCGTAGGACGTTGGGAACGTGCCTTGTCGTTCCGTTCCGTTCGGTACCGTGGCGTGACAGTGGGACGGAAGTCGGGCCGGCGCCTCCCTTTCTCGACCTATTTCTTTGTTTGTGTGGGAATGGCGCATGGCGTTTCCAAAGTGACGCGTTTTGTTTACTTAAAGCAAACATCAAAGACAAAGTCACAGCTGTTTATAATTTCTCAAACCACGTATAGTTATGTCGCCCTGCTCTGAGCTAGTTCACGAGAAAAATTTCGACAGATCTCAGAGGTATCGGTAACATTTCTGAGGTCCAAATGCAGCCGAAATTGTAAACATCTTTGCGAAATAGTATTCTGCTCCGAAAGGTCCCTATTTTCGTGACTCTCATCTTCTCTGTATTTCAAGGGTAGAATTGTATTTTGAAATCGTCCAGTGCTTGTAACTGTCAGAAGAAGTCGTGAAACACTCCACAAAAAGTATTTATTCTTAAGCAGCACAAAAGGACGAGTTGTTCTAGAAGTTTGGTTATTCTAGCTCTTATACTGAGATTCTTGCGTTCATACAGACAGACGGACATAGTAGGGGCCTTTTTCCGTGTGACATACGTATGAACATTCGCACTAAACTGGAATATAAATAAGGATAAACTTCACCGATATCTCCAGCTGTTAATGGAATTTATTTTGAATCTGAACTAAATGTTTCAGGACAAAAATATTAAAATTGTATACATAAATTGAAAAGGTTTCCTCGGGAGTGGGGTATGCCGATTCGGTCACATGTGTTTCCTGCATCCGATTTTAGGTCAGGCAAATAGAATGACCAGCATTTAATATGCATAAGCATAATGAACGATTTGCGCGAACCATTTTTAATAATATTACGTATACGTCACGTTGAGCCTGCTTCAATATTTAAGCAAAAGCTCAACGGTAATGGCAGAAAAATGCATTAAAATCAGCCGCGAATAGTAACAAGCTTCGCATGCTGAAGAGTTGTTGATAGCTTCATACACTGACCGATTTTTATATGCATTTTTATGTGTAGAGTATGTAATAAATTCGAAGTGTTGAGCAAGAAATATCCGTTTTCAAAACGATCATAAATTTGTAGGTGAAAGTAAAATGAAACTAAATGCCTAATATCGAACTAACAATGAACTGTTTCTTGTCTAAAATAAATTTTGATGCACCGTTAGATGGCTAAAGATATTTTTAAAACGGTTCGTTTTACGTGGAATTCGAAAATAATTATTGTTTTATAGTCGCAATATTGGGTCCAGAGGATAAGCCTTCTGGCTTTTGGCTGCTATCAGGCAAGCAGGTGGAGTTGTGTGGAGTTCTATGCCGTAGGTCAAGTTGGCCTTGTGTTCCAATAATTTATTTGCTACGGGCGATGATCCAGCAAACAACTGGGGCAACTGTCTATTTGTTTATCTTAAGCTAAAATTTATAATACGGAAATGTTCACAGTTCTTACAAATGTAAGATATGGAATGGAAATTTAAATATATCAATTACAATATTTGCTTGATATCGGAGCACGGAAAATTTAATTGTAAGAATTCAGGCCAAACGGAAAAGCTTGTGGAAATGGAAGCATGAGTAAATTTAAAAATAAAAGTGTTAAAATATAAAGAATATTGAACTATATTTAAATCATGTTTGTGTTTGTATATTGTAATTAAATATGGTTTTAAATTTCATTGAATGCGACAATTCTTAGACTGTAGTCAGGATAATTAAATGTATTCATACCTCAATAAGTAATTGAATTGAATTCCACTACAAAAATATGAATATATTTTTTGAGTGTATTTAAGCTTGGCTGGCATGTTTGTCTGGTCTGGTTGCCTTGTTTGTTTGATGCTCGCTAACAAGCACAAGCTGCTTTCTGTTGTCTGTTGCTGCCTTCCGTTGTTGTTGTTGCTGCTGCTGCAGCTGCTGCTGCTGTTGTTGGCAGACAGGAAATGTTGCACATCTCTGCGGAAATGCCATAGAAGGTTTTGCCATGCCTGCTCGCCCTTTATTTACATTGCAGCTTTTATGCAAGCGCCTTTAAATTTATAGCTTGTTTTTCATAAGAATCCCGCCACATATAATTCAATTTGTACGTAGTCGGCTATAGAGCGCTGGATCTTGAGAGCAAGACAAACAATTTGTGCCAATGAAATGAGCGCAAAAGCGCCACTCAAACTGATTTTTATGGGAGTTTGGCAATCAAAGCACGTTTTGCAATAAATTTTCGTGCATTTCACCCAGCTTCTTGGGATATTGGATTTACAAATTGTTGTTTAACCCGATTTGAACCTCGACGCAAGCAGTCGACTGAACAGAAGAAATAAAATCAACAACACAAAAACACATAAGATGGGAAAGGAAAAGGAAAATAGAGTCAATGCCATAGACAAATTTATATGTTTGCCAGCACACTCAATTTTACTGAAACAAATTGTCTGCTAAGCATTTCTGCGCTTAACACCTGAAATATACCCCATCCAGCTCATCCCCTCCTTTCTTTGAAGTTTCTGCTGCGCATTGAAGCATTGAAGAACTGCGCACTTAGCTGCAGAAAGTCAATGAAAGTGAAATAGAAAACAGAGAGAGATGAAAAAAAATAAAACATAAAACAAAAAACAAAAGCAAAAGAAGCAATGAACAGCAGCCCGACTGTGTTTGCTTTATGCTTTATTGCTTTTAAAGTGTCATTTATAACCTAGCAACGATTTATTTTGTTTGTTGTTGTCTGGCGGCGCTAAACTTTGATAAATTGCCACATTTGGCTTGTTTGCATGTGGCCAGCCAAGACATTACACCCATTGCCTAAGTAGGTGTGTCTGTGCCGGTTGGCAGATGCATTTTTTCAGCTTCATTTAGTTTTTATGCCAAAGTCAAGGTTTGCTTTATGGCCCTTTCTTCTGCATAATAATAATGAATGGCTAACAAAAACGATATCAAATTTGCCTCTCATGTGGCATTATCTGACATTCGGAACAAACGATACACAAAATTATTAAAATCAACAAGGAATTTGGTCAACATCGAACACATTTATTGTTATACCCTTTAATACGCACGTCTGTTCAACCATCTGTCTGTATGAAAATCGAAATTTTTCGAATCATAGCCGCTACGAATACCAAGTTGAGCATATGGTCTTCACTTAGTTATTTGTAGACATAGTTTATTCAAATCCTTAAAACGCTCGTTTATTTTAGAATTTTCAGTCTTCTATAATGTCTCGCTGTAAATACAACCATAGCTGTCACAGAAATAATCGGCCTACAAATCGG